TTTTTACCCAGGAACCACTGATGATTGAAAACCTAAATAGCATTCTGTGCTCAAGACTGTGTTCCACCATGGATGAAGGAGGGGACCCTCCTTCCTCCCTGGTTCCACCATATGCTACTGCTTTTTGCCTCATTAGATATTCGCTCTGTTTTTGGAGTTGAGTTTATCTTTATACAGCCTGTATCAGGTCTATTATGTTTTCTTTGTGGGTATATAGTTCCTGCTGCATAGTTATCTGTTCTTAAGTGTGTTGTGTTTAAGTTTCCATTTTACTTATTGCATGTATTTCCTCTTTTTCTGTTTACAGCCAATCCACCAACCCCTTTTATTTTGCCTAAGATCGTAAGTGGTTGTTTGCTAATAAAACAGCCTAGCTTGAGGAACCTGGTCCGGTTACATATGTCATCAGATGTTGTGTGCAACACATCAAGAGGTGTGGTGCTTAATCCGTATGAAGTTCCAAGAGGAATTAATGCGCAGCAGAAAACGCTGGAACGACAATCTGTAGGAAGGTGCAACTTGGCCTAAAATAAACGAAAAGGGAGAGGCCTAATGAAATAAAATGATGATCACTCGCTACACTTTGATGATGAATTTGACATTTAAAGTGAGTTTGAGGAGAAATCAAAGAAACCAGTTACATATGTAGTGATGACAGTGCAGAGAGTGAATCAAGCATACATGTAGATGAAATCAGTGAAGATGGAAATGAATATTACCACAAACAAGTCAAGAGCTTGGATGACGATAGGGGGATTCTGACCCCGACATTTCTTTACATCACCGCAGTAAATCTCTTCTTTCATGTTATTTGCAGTTGGCTCTTTGAAGGTTAAATGTTTAAATTTTATGTGCCATGTGCCTGCGTACTTGAATGCATAAGGCTTAATAACATTTTCCACTGTTATTGCAGTTTGGGTGGCAGTTAGGTTTGTTGAAGATAACATTCGACACATCAATTTAATAACAGAATCTGAGAGTGAGACAGCACTGGAGACAGTTTGGGGGCCCTGCATTCAGACCAGAAGATATACCCAGCTGACATTATTAAATTTCCAGGTATATGTGACTTTGTTATGGCTATATATGTCGCATGCATTGCATACCAGTCTAGGATTGTCTGATTCATTATAACAGGAGGCTAGGAGCCAAGCACTTCATTCATGTGCTACATGTACATTGTATTTTGATTACCTTGATAATCACATGTATGTGTATACCGGTACATGCTTTTACATGTATATTTATGTAAATATTTCTTTTTAAAATTTATCAACTAAATTTTTTAACACAGTCCCATAGCATGCCATACATAGCCATGGATCATCAATCAAGTAGCAACAAATATCTTACTTTTTGTTATGATTATTATGACTTTACACTGTTTGTTTTTTCCCCTGGAATCAGGTCACTGCGTAAATATTTGAATAAAAAGCGCAGAAAATAAAACTCCTCTCACTTTAATCTACCTTTGTTCCTGGCATGTGACAATGCACAAGTTGTTACGTACATATATGTATGGTTGTCATACTGCAATATCCATCGCCACTGCATGCGTATATACCGCCACTGCCTCACCGACACTAAAATAGACTGGCCCCTCACGGTTTGTTGCAGGACATAAGACCACTTCCTCTGTCTTGTTTACAGATGTGGGCCCCAGTCCTGACCAATTGGCTATGGCCAGAAATGACACCAAGTATTTGGCAATATCTACGGCCAGTTCCCATAGAATCATGCATAATATCAAGCCACAGCCAACTGATTCCGACACAAATGACATCATCTGACAAGAGTGCCCGACTGAAATGTATGGAAGCTTAGGGGGATTCCTTCACCATACATATTACTCAACCTCACCCACTGAAAACATGTTAAAATTATGCATTTGCAGAATTCCTGCCGATCAAGAAAGTTTGGTGGCTTTTGGAAATCGTTTTGTAAATGCAAAATAAAAAAATCTTTATCTTGTTGACGTGCGGGTCTATGGCGACGCCCGCAGTGAACAGAAACCGGAGACTTTTTGGGGGGCCTAATAAGACCATGGAGGAGGGTTTGTGTCCTCCCTCCATGATAAAACCTCATCTACCAGATTATAATGATAGTCATTATACCATAGTGTTGATAGGCTTGCATTTTTTTGCACTAGGCCTTCGGAGGCCTAGGGCCTACCCTTCCTTCATGATCAATTGAAACATGTAGACCTAGCATTATTTTGAAGGACCAATTTGCTTGGTTGTGTAAAATAGCAACAAAATTGTTAACAATGACACAATTCATATTTAAATTGATAACACATGTCATGCACCGAGGCATGGTATGCCAGCCATTCAGATTTTGAGATTGGCTAAATGTATCTTGTCAGTTATTTTCAAAGGGGAAAAACTCTTTGAAGTAGTTAAAATGTGACTTTTTAGGTCATTTCTGCAAAAGCCAAAAAAAGCCAAATATACACCTAAGTATCTCTTCATTATTTACTTCCCACAGGCAACACAACACTGCTAAAGAGTGTACATGGTACATGTACCTGTATTTTTGCGTTGTCTATAAACACTTCAACTTCAATTACTTTTCTGTTGTTAGCAGGGCAGGCATTAATGAAGCAAATAAAATTTGGTTCTCAGTCTCCTTCACAATCAAACTTGATGGAAGAGACGTTCACTTCCTGGAAAGAGATGGCCAAGGGCTTAAACCTGCTTGCATGGCGAGGGGGGAATCTGCTCAAAATAATGAGAATGGATGCCAAAGGTCACCAAGTATTATTCCTGTCAATTGCCCATGATTTTTCAAAGAATCTTGTGATATCTGATGTGCCAACTGATGAAGAAAGCCACGTCAGGACAGGTAATTCAGAGGTCTTGACGCCAACAGAAGTTGAAACCCTACTACAGTGATTAATGTCACTTGTTGTTTGTGAGGGGAATGGGGACTTTGGAGATTTGATTAAATCCAGGAGAGGAAGTGATGGACAGGTGCCTGTTAGGATCAGTGTTAGTGATGTTGTTACAAATGGTGTTACCTGTCACAAGAAGTGTGTCCTCATGAGTGAAAAAGGTCTTCGTTATGCCAAATGTATAGTGCAGATTTGAATGCTCTTAGGGGACAGATGAAAGCAAGAGAGGAAAGAGCTGTGCCTATCTCTGCATCATCATGTATTCCAAATACATGATTAACAAGAAAGCAGCTGGAAGAGAAGGCCCATCTTCTGCAAACTGAACGGCGTAGTTTGAAGCAGTGGGCAAACAGTTTACAAGACAAGATTTCAGCTATGATGCAGAAGACTATTCAAGTTGACAGTTGTCAAGAAGGTTTTTTGAAGGCCTCAGTCAACAATTGCGGAGATGAGATGGAAGAGGTGTCAAAGAAGGATACCTTGGCCCACTTGCTTTGCCAACAGCAGAAAGAGTTCCCTCCTCAAGGGTTAACAGGTTTGATGGCATTCTGCAATATTTCGTTGGTGTGTAAACAAGTTGTTTTGCCATAAAGGTAAACGTATGATAAAAGTCTTCCACATTTGCTCCAAAGGTAAGGGAATAGAAATAAACTTCAAAACATTTTCAATGTTGCAAATGT